TCAGCTCGTTAAGAGTACTTTTTAGACTGCCAATCTATACAGTTCTGCTGAAGGATGCCAGCTGCCATAAAGCTAATTCCTTACACCCTTCATCTGCTCTTCTGGAAATCCATAAAAAGTCCAGATTTGAATAGTCTGTTGTGTCAAACATTTGAATGCATTAAGCCCTTTTGACAAGTTCCAGCTGTCCAGCAAGCTGAAAAGCAATAATCATAAGAGAAGGCAAAATGAACGTGCTGGATTAATTTTGCAAGTGCATTTGTTTCAACTTCCAAATGACTTGCAGTAGGCTGCGTAGGAATGACTCATGTATATTTGCTCCAGTGTCTCTCCCACATCCATTATTCACTTGCTACTTAAGCGCTGTTGGCATCAGTTGGAGCAATGCCATGTGCTACTCTCCCCAGTTTTGCATTGTCATGGAGGGAGTTCCACAAACCAGATACAGCAGCAGATTGGGAATTGGGAAGTATTCTCTGCCACTGTCTGGCTTGGTGGCCTTGGGCAAGTCCCTTCATTTGTCTGCCTCAGTTACTTTCCCCTTTAAAATGGCAACGAGGACTCTGAACTTGGTAAAATACTTGGCCATATACTGATAAAAGTACTTGAAGTATTAAGTAATCATGTTTTTACAGAATAAACTTGAGACTGGCCTCTGGGCCATATTTTGGTTTGCCTGAACTTTGCAGGCAAATCTTAGTTCTTTGTCCTTTAGCATTACTTAATGGGACTCTAAATGGGCTTTTGATCTAGATGGCTCTGACTACAGTTACCTTAGGTCGGCCAGAGCTGTGTAGCCACATCACCTTCCTGCCTTGGGAATCATTGTCCATTGTGTTCAGTAGCCCAGGAAATGGCTTTTCATTTAAGCAGCCAACTTGGAAGCCACTTACCTTTTTCTACCCATGTTTGGTTCCCCCCATCCAGGCTGACTGATCCCATTCCTACAATGGAAACCTCCATAGCTCCCCGCCAGAGACCTAAAGCAGGACAGACGCAGCCCAACCCTGGAATTCTGCCTATTCAGCCAGCCCTCACCCCCAGGAAGAGGCCCAGTGCCCAGGCAGCCGTCCAAGCACAAGGTGAGGTGATTTCCATGGTGTTGGTGCCTCCTGAAAATACACAGGGCAGCACTTCAGCATGGTCAAAAGCTCCTGGAATTTGCCAAATAAATTCAATCCCGTGCTCCACTCCTATTGGAAAGGCCGGGAGAACTGAGCCCAGACAGAACCAATGGTCTTCCAGAAGCTGAACAGGCTTCAGAAGAGTCCAGGCTCAGAACGAGTGGGAGTTGGTACTTTTTTTTTCCTTCCCTTGAAGTGTTTTGAGGGGGAATTTTTGTTGTTTTTTCAGCCACCAAAATACTTTGATCAGGATGAAATATTTCTGCAGCGTTTTCTAGTTTGGGGTTTTTTGGTTTGATTTTTCTGACTTTTTTTAATGGAAAAATTGAAATCCTATGGTAAAGGTAAAGGTTTTCAAGTCACAATAAGATTAAAAATTTAAACTTTAGGGGGCGCTTTTTTTTTTTTTTTTTTTTTGCACATTTGTTTTGAACATTTTTTTTCAATTGTTTTTGTCAAATGGAATTTTTCACAGGAAACTCCTGTGGAAAATCATTGGTGCAGTTCGACCTGCTCTGAGAACCTGGACAGTCTAGCTGAGAACCTATGGATCTTTTGGGTGGGGGGACCCATCCTAAAGAACTCTGTAGCCAGGGGCGTAATTCCCTATCCAGTCCTCCGGGATGCTCTCAGAGGCTGACAGGCTGGTCCCTCTCTATGGGGCCCTTCCCTAAGGGGAGTATAAGCATTGTGCTGGAGCTCTGCTGAGCAGGGGGACAATTGTCTACTCTGATCTCTCGGCCCATCGTCCTCTTTCCCCTCTTAGGTGCAGGGCCTGCTGCATTGAGTGGCTCCCAGCCCTCGCTTCCTGCAGGCGTTCAGCAGCCGAAAGCGCCACCCCCGCAAGCCACGTCACAGCCTCCGCCCCAGCCCAAGCAGCCGCCTGCTCCTCAGCCGACCCCAGCCGCCCAGCCGCCAGCCCCTTCTACTCAGCCACAGGCCACACCGCAGCATCAGCAGCAGCAGCAGCTCTTCCTGAAGCAGCAGCTACTGCAGCAGCAACAGCAGCTGATGCAAGCCCAGCAGGTAAGCATGGCCGCGTCTCAGCACGCCTAGCGCCCGTCCGAGGCCATGGAGCTCCCAGGTAGAGGAGACAAGGTCTCGAGCCCTTGCTCAGCAGAGGCCCAGGAAAGCGAGAGTGGCGTGGTGTGGGGGGGGCGGGGGGGGGCGGACCGGGGGGGGGGGCGGGGGGAGGCGGACGGGGGGGCATTCTTTACTCTCTTCTGTTATGCTAGCTCCTTGGGCCGTCAGCTCTGGCTGTGCTGTGTAACGGGCGGGAACAGCCCTGCAGAGTGTACAGCTTGACTAGGCAAAGGGTAGAAAGCAGGATGAGGAGAAGCGAGCTGTCCAGGGTGTGGCAGCAATGACCAAGCTGGGAACAGAACCTAGCTCTCCTGGCTCCTAGGCCTGAGCCTTCCCCAGCAGGCCAGGGCATTTAAATAGGCTGCTTGGAATTAGTGGAGCTGGAATGCCGCCCGTAAAATGCTGTGATGGCCTTCAGGCCACACTGGCAGGGCTCTGCCTTGGCCTGACGTGCCAGCACAGCAACAGTAAACGCTGCATGCCGCTGTGCTGGTCCAAGAACACGCCCCGGCAGTCAACTGATTGCACCACTTTGGGAAAGTCTCTTCTCCCCGCCGCCCTAGAGAGGAGGTAGGTGAGGTCACACCTCGTATTGGACCAGCTTTTGCTGGTGAGAGACAAGCTCTCTTCCTCAGGTCTGTGTGAAGCGCCGGGCAAATTCAAACGCCTGCCCCTCACCAACAGACGCTGGGCCACTGAAAAATATTACCCCAGCCACCGTTTGTCTCTAACGTCCTGGGCCCAGCGTGGCTAACGCACAGCAAACCACAGTGGAACCCGCTCGGTCGCCCACTTCCATAGCTGGTCAGAAGCTGTTAACGGATCTACTGCTACTTGCTGTCGAGCTGTGTGTTGTTGTATTCCACTCTCATAGAGGGGCCTTGGTAGTCCCCTCCGTTGTGGCATCAAGGAGCGTCACTGCAGTACCGATGTGAGCAGCCAGAACAGGCACTCCCCAAGTTACAAATCCCGACTTACAAGCTTCCGCATGCACAAGCAGCGGCTCCCCTGCAGCCTCCAGCAGGGCCGTCCTTAGGATGTACGGGGCTTCACGATGGCAGGGGGGACCTGATGGTTTTTGGAGCTGTGATTTTATGATCTTCAGCAACACACAAACAAAATCTTTTAAAAGCAAATTTTAAACTAAGGTCCTGTCGACTCACCCAGTAACACAAACTGACAGTATGGACCTGGGGTTGGCAAATGCCTCTTGTCTGCAGTACCTCTTGACTGGCTCTTTCCCAGGTTCTGCTAACAGGTCAGGCCGGATTTGCCACTTGTAAGGCCACGAGCGCCTCTCGGAAGCAAGCAGAACTAGAGAGCAGGAATAGGAAGGGGCACGGCACTAAGACCCAGAGGTGCCCAAGACTTTCAGGTGCCCTACACAGCTGAGTATTCTGCATGTGTGTCATGAGGATCTGACCTCAGGGAGCAGGCAGGAGACACAGGTGGAGGGGAGCTGTGCCAAGTGCTGGCTGGAGGACTCTGCAGGAGCAGGGGGAGGTCTCTCAACCAGCAGCGGGAGAGAAGCGGCCTTTGAAGCGGAACCGCCGGTCTCTCCAGGTGCACCGCTGTCCCGGGCTCCTCTAGAGTCCTCCGACCCACCCTCGCACTGCTCGCTGCCTCCTGGTCAGAGGGGCTGGGTGCAGCCGGGGGGGCAGTGGCTGTACGGTGGGGCTGGCCTCAGGAGTCACTGAAACAATCCCACAGCCTGAGCCTTGCAAGCCCACCAGCTGCTGAGCAGCCATACCCAGCATGAACTAGGGATGTAAAAGCCTGGTCAGTTAACCGATTAAATGTTAGGTTAATGTAACAGTTCACTGGTTAACTGACTAAAGAAGGATCCAGGCTAGTCTGTGAGGCTGGCTACCAGCTCCTGGCTCCGCATGGACAGAGACAGCTCTAGATGCCGAAACAACCTCTGTGGGGCTGGAGCAGCCACTTGCCCACAACTGGGGTGAAGCTGCTCCAGCCCCCACCGTTTAACCAGAACTGGTAATCACCACCTGTTTAGGGCAATGCTTGCCGGTTAACCACTCACATCCCTCTTTTCCCCTTCCACCTGCTTAGCAGTGAGGCCCAGTTTAAAAGAGGAGGTTTGCTGCACTGGCCCCCATTTGACGTTGGGATACTGGGTCTATCGCACAACCCCCCTCACACTTAGCCCGAGTGCGAAGCCAATGCAGGAAGTCCACAGCTTACGAATGGGTTGTGTTCCAAAAGTTCGCTTGTAAGTCGGCTCTTTGGAACTTGGAACGCATTTTCCCATTGGAGCAATGTTATAAATGGTAGTTAGGTTCCCAGGGTAGCCCACAAAAGCTGATGTAACCCCCAGTGTAGCTGAAATACTGTAGATTTGCAATGAAAACGACTAGAAATCGTTTATCCAACCTTGGAGGCTGGTGCTTGAGGAAAGGCAGGTTTGCTTAGAGGAGGATCAGGAGGTAGGTGGAGATTCTAAAAAGGGAACTTCTGGGTATCCCCCCGGCTGCTGTCCATCCCCCCCTTCCCCCCCTCCCCGCCCGGCAGGCTCTGCTGGGGAGAGAGGGCCCAGGTGTCAGGCTGGAGCGTGTCTGGAAGCCTGCACAGCAGTGGCACTGGCAGGCTGAGCACGGGGAGCCCAAGGTCTGTCCTGACTGTGCAGCGTCCACACAAGTCCAATGCCCCGCGGATGGTTGGGAGGGGGCAGCCTTTGCTCAGCTTGAGCAGGGAGGCGCATTAACTCAAGGCTGGGCCGCGGAGTGAGCCAGGGAAGTGGCCGAACAGGAGACTTGTCCTTTCCAGTGCTTGACAAAGGTGGGAAAGAACCGAGAAGGTTTCTAGGCGTCAGGGCCCACGTCCAGTTTTTGAGCAGCCTGTGGCAGGTGGCCTGCCAGGCCTCTCAGCTTGTGTTTCACCAATTGCCCTGCCTGTCTCTCTGTCTGCCCCGGCCGCAGTTCCAAGCCCTGCCGCAGTTCCCAGTGATGCAGCAGGGAGCGCCGGCGCAGCAGCAGCTCATGCAGAGCTATTACCAGCAGCAGCAGCAGCACTTGGGCGCCCAGCAGAAGACCGTGGTGGCGGCAGTTCAGTCAAAGCCGCAGGCTGCAGTCCAACCAGCAGCTGCGCAGGAGCAAGTGGTAAGAACTAGCAAGGCCTTGAAAGCTGCAGGGAGGGGCTGGACAGCATGGGCGGGATCAGTGCGCATAAACGTCCCAGGCACAAACCGAGCTCGCAGCCTGCCCGGCTAGTTGTGTGCGGGACACGGTCTGGGAGTAAGGGAGACTCAGGGGGGCCTCCAGTGTTTGGGACCAAGCTTTTCCTGTCAGCCATTTTTCCTGCTCCCCCGGTGCTTTCCAAGAGTCTGGTCTTGTCTGGGCTTCTGCCTCCCGGCAAGTGCTGGGCTCTCTGCAGAAACTCCCTCTGGCTATGCTGTCTACTGGAGTTTGGCCTTCTGTAGCAGAGCAGGGCAGGCTGAGGTGAGAGGAGAGAGGAAAAGTTACTCTCCTCCTTGCTACAGAATATATTTCACCTCCAAAGGGGTCCCTGAAGGCACATGGCAGAGCTGCTCAGTCCTGCATGAGGGAAACATTGGGTCGTGTTTTTCGCTAGATGGCGGGTGCCCTGAAAATCAGTCCCTCAAAGCCATTGTGGACATTGCTAGATTGCAGGGCAGGAAGGGACCATCGTGGTCCAGTCCGACCACCTAGATAACTCAGGCCGTCAACTTGGGCATCTGCCAACCGAAATCAGGGTCCAAGAATCCTGACCCAAGTTTTCTTGACCCCGGTAGGAAAAAGCGGGTACAAAAAGAGCAGCCTTCCACTCTGCCTTGATTGTGGTGGGCTGGGTTTTTCCTGCTCTGTCGTAAAGAGGATTTTTACAACACGTTGTACAAAAAAGAAATCTGCTATTAATCATCTGAGCATGTGTCCAAATCAATTCGACTTGCAGCAGCAGAGCGGATGACTGTCCGCTGCATTAGACAGGGGAGATGTGCCAGAGAGCACGAGTCCCCGCTACCAAAATCCTCTGCAGTTGCAGAGGAAAGGAAGTGACAGTCCTTCATTGCTTCCAGAGCCGATTCATGCTTGTTTCTCTTGGTAAGTGGGGGGCCCTTCACTTCAGTTTCATTTGTGCATGACAAGGGCTTGCGCTCGGTTTTTGCACTGTATCCTGTACCCATGCAAAGGAAGGGGGCATTGTGCAAATCTCTTCAGCTACAGAATATTTGCTTCTAAATTAAGAGGCAGCCCCTGCTTGGCTTGCTTAGAACTCTTCCTGGGCCTAGTCCCTATGAAGCTGCAGGAGCAAAGCTGCCCTAGGTTGAGTACTAGCTGCCCCAGCCTGCCTCTTCCAGGAGCACCAGGAGTAATTTGGCCAAGGCATTTGGCAGAATGACGTATGTGCCTAAAGGCTGGGGCAGGGGAGAATTATTATTATTATTATTATTATTATTATTATTTTTTCCACCCCTTTTATGACTAGAGCCCTGCAAATCCACAGATATCCTGCAGGTATCTGCATCCACAGCTCTCTTTTGCAGATGTGGATGCAAATGCACATTTTGTATGTAGAACCCTGCAAATTTGCTGATGTCCGTGGGCCCCTGCAGATGTGGATACATTTATCTGCAGCTCATCGTTGCGAATAGGGATGCGGATCCAGATAAAAGTTTATTTCCGACGGTGTCTTATCGGTCTCTGTTACCTGTTGTGTGGAATATTCCTCTGTAGCTGGTGAGCAGGGGAGGGAGTCGCAGACCTTGGGTTCCTACAGTCGCTAGGTGATCCTGGGCAAGGCGTATTAGCTCTGAGACGCCGGAATGGGTCTGATCCAAAGTCACTGGGAAGTTTGACCATTGAAAGGTACAACACGACCCAATGGCTTGAAGTTGAACAAATTCAGGCTGCAAATAAAGCTCCATTTTCCCATTCTGAGTCATGGGAACAACTTACCCAGAATCAGGTCCACTGATTTGGCGGGGGGGGGGTCAGAAAAAGGGGGCAGTTGCCCCAGGGCCCAGCAATTCTGGCAGCCCTCGGAGCCCTAACCCTGATGCCAGAGCCCCATGACACACACTCCAGGTGGCTGTAAGGGCTAGCAGGGGTGGTGCGGTGCACTGGGGGCTCACTGCCCCAGCCCCCCCCGCCCCTTCCAGGAGTGCCGATGCAGCCCCACCCACTTTGCCCAGGGGTCCGGCATGGCTGTTTGCTCCCCCACCCGGGGACCTGGTGGATTCCCCACCACTGGCAACTTTTAAATCGAGGTTGGGATTATTTTTGTTGAGGTCTGCTCTAGGGATTATTTGGGGAAGTTCCTGCGACTTGTGTGACACAGGAGGTCCTGGCAGATGGTCACCGGGGTCCCTTCTGGCCTGGAATCTGTGAATGACCCCACCGGGGTCCCTTCTGGCCTGGAATCTGTGAATGACCCCACCCCGCTTCCAGGAGAAAATTCCTGAGACTTATTTAAAGAGCCTTTGTGAAGGTACCTGGAGACCCTTCACACACGTCAATTACATGAAAATCTTCTTAACGGGAATAAAACAACCCAGTGTGAAAATCCCCCCCCCCAATCTTCCCTGAAGAGTAACCTGTGCAGAGCCCCTCCCATTCCTGCAGCAACCAGGAAGAGCATTGATGGTCTCATTTTAAAAAGGCGTCGTGAGGCGGCATCTCTCTGTGGCAGGCTCTCAGGAGAGAACGCTCGGCTTAGCCCTGTCAAAACCTTTCCATGTTGCGAAACTTCATTGACATGCTGAGCCCTCTGCGTTCCTGCGGAGATCCCGGTACAACCCTTCCCTGCCCGAACACCATGTTGTACTGTGACCTACATAGAACGCCACATGGTGGGTGCATGGGATGTGCTCAAGACCAACTCCCTGCTTCCTGCAGCGCAATGTGAGGCTTAAAATGCAGCAGGTGAAAAGAAGAGCTCTTGATCGCCTCCCCTGCCATTCTGAGCATGTGACCCTGCAGCCACTGGACACCCGGCTGGGGTTGTGGTTTTGGTGGTGGTGGTCTGAAGGACACTGGGAAGTGTCTCTTTCCTGGCTCAAGATGGACCAAACTGCTGCCGCTTACTGGAGCAGAGGCAGAACGCTGTGGCAGTACCATAGACAGACTGCTCGTCTCTTCCCCCTGCTTTTACCTTTTAAAATCAGCATTAAGTGCTAGCCAGATTGCGAAGTCACACTTAGCAGGCTGACTAGAAACCAAGTGGTGACAAACCCTGTGATTTTTTTTTTTTTTCACACCGGAATCGTTTTAGTGGGGGGGGGGGCATAACGAGCTCACATTAGTTTCACTTTCTGAGCACGTCCCTCCTTTTGTGAAACATTTTGAACTTCTTGTTCAAGGGCTACAAAATTGGAGCAGGAGGGGTCAATTGTGTCTCAAGACCGGCAGTATGACCTCCATGTGCTGTTCATACTGAGTTACACTGCTCCCCTCTGCAGCCCGCCTTGGTCACTAATGGTTAATAGCTCTGGTTCCCACAGCCCTGGATAGGTTTGCCGTGCCAGCTGGGTCCCATGTCCCCCTAATGGAGTCGTTCTTTTAGCTCAAGGGCTGGGCTCTGCGCTTTGGCGCTGGAGGTTCTGGGTTCTGTACTCATTGGACACCAGTCCAAATCAAACGATCACCGGGATACGTTTGTACCCTGAGTTGTGAAGAAACCATTAGATAAAAGGTTTCTGTGGCAATCCCTGGAAATCCAACCCCTGTTAAACAGCTCGCACTCACCGATATTTTGCTCCTTAGCCCTGTCCCGCTGTAACTTCAACCCATGTGCCCACCCGACGTGGCCTCTCCAATGTGATCTTTCTTGCCCAGGTTGTGAACCATGGCGCCCAGGGGGGTGGCGGTTGCCATTTCTCTGTTAGGGACACGTTCCTTCCCAGAGCTGTACCGGTGAAGGAGAGCGGTGTCGCTGGGATTACGTCTCAATGGGACCCTAATACTCATTGTTGAGGCTCGTTCGGTTTTGCCCTGCTCCTTTAGGCTGTGTGAGGCCAGGGCCCAGGGGGACTCTCACATGCGCCAGTAGCTTTGACGTTTGCTTCCTTCCAGAAGCAGGCTCCGATACGGCAACAGCAAAAGCCTCAAACTACGCCACCGTCCGCTATCCAGGGCCAAAAGCTGGGCTCCCTCACGCCTCCGTCCTCCCCCAAGACGCAGCGCGCAGGGCACAGGAGGATTCTGAGCGACGTGACGCACAGCGCTGTGTTCGGGGTCCCGGCCAGCAAGTCCACCCAGCTCCTGCAGGCGGCCGCTGCCGAGGCCAGTCTCAACAAGTCCAAGTAGGTGGCCGGTGGCTCTGACGGGTACGGGGGGTGGAGAAGCTGTTTGTGCCCTGCTCTTGAGGGGAATACCCTTAAGTCAGCCCACCTCATCTTGGTACCCACCAGGCTCGAAAGCCTCCCCCTCACTCCAAAGCAGCGTCCTTGCTCAGGGCGGGGGGAACTCCCAACTGTGTTTCCTCTCCCAACATGCCAAGCAAACTGAGTCCCCACCCACTGGACTACCCGGTGGGCAAGAAGGTGCCTCAGTAGCCCTTGGATCCTGCTTCGCCCGGGACCCCAGCAATCCTCTGGCCCGTATTCTGAGCCTGGCAGGTGCAGCGAAGCATTCCCCAAAGAGTCCGTGCCATTTCACCCACACTATCAAACCCATAAAGTCGGGAGGCTGCCGCCCGGCATATTCCATACAGCTCTTCATGGCACGGGGCAGGGCGGCCTTTCCACAGGTTCCCTAACTCAGCAGGTGGCAAACTCCTTGAGAGCGCCCCTCTTGAGTTACGATTTGGGTTGCGCTCCTCCCCCAACCAGAGCCAAACAGCCACGTGCAGGGTCGCCTGCTTACAAACTGAACCAAGACCATAACGCAGCTGTAGTTACATTACGTTACCCACACTTGGAAATGTCAAGTACACGGACACTGCCTGCCCCCTGACTCTTCCACCCCACCGTTTGAAAGCCATTGCCCCAGCTGCTCTAAGGCCCTTGTGCATCTCGGTTTGTGCCCCCGTGCAAGAAGTGCATCAGGCACTCCAGGGACAGGCCAGGACTCGGGCGCAGCATCGCTGAGCTCTAAATAGAGCTGTGTATGTGCCACCAATGCCGCCCAGCGGTGGAAATGAGACCAATGAGATTAGGCTGGGCCGTGCCACAGGAAGAGAATAGGGAGGATCGAGGTGCCCCCTTCCATGAGGCCCTCAGTGGCAGGGAAGGAATGGAAGGAGACATACCCAGGGGATCCTGGCAGTGAGCCGCCCCAGACACAGCAGAAGAAATCCAGAGACTCCTAAGATCACTACCATTGGACCTGGCGGGGAAGAGGAGATTTTCCTTCCCAACAGTATGTGATAATGAGGGCCCTACCAGTTTCATAGCCATGAAAAAGTCACAGACTGTGAAATCTGATCACCCTGTGCTGCTAGGAGCCTGGGCTTCCCAGCCGCTGGGCTGGCCAGGCTGGGGAGGGACAGCAGTTCTCTTCACCCTCCCCAGCCACTCTCGGTGGGGGTACCAGACCCGCTTTGAGAGGTCTTGCAAGAATGAGGGTGGTACCACCGCACTTCTGCTCAGGAGAAGCCTGGAGAGATCTGGGCTCCCGTCTTCTGCCCCCCTCCCCTCCATACACACACCCTAGGGCTCCTGCTTCCGCTTTGGGCATCCTCCCCCCCAGCAGTTCTAGCCGGGGCTGTAACTTGTGCTCCCGGTGGCTATAGCTGGGACAAGTTGGGTTCTGGCCTCCCTCTGCAGCTTCTGTGTGGCTCTGGAATTGGAGCGCAGGGCTGCTTCCCCCAGGAGTTAATATCAGGCTTGAGGCTTGCAGGTCCTATTGCCATGGCTCCTGCCAGGGATCGAGGTGACTGGGTAGCAAGGGCTACTGACTTGGGGTTTTTTCCTAGGGCTGGAGACACCCGTTTTCTGAGGGGCCCAAAAATTGGTTATCTCCAGGACCTGCTCTAGCCTTGTCCTGAAGGCTGTACAGAAGTGACCTCCCTCCCCATGACAACTTTGCAGACTTCCCCCCCCCCCTTGCTCCCTGCACATGATCCCATTTGGAGGCAGGGACCCCCATTTAGAACACTGAAATTAGGGATGGAATCATGGAAAATTGTGAAACTGACCAACTTGAAAAACCACTGGCCATGAAACTGACCAGAATGCCTAGTGAATTTGGTAGGTCTCCAGAGATGATCCATTGAGACCCCGAGCATGTGAGGAAGAACCAGCCAGCCATCTCCTGAGAGACCAAATGCCACCGCAGAGACCAAGCCACCCCACACAATGGCCCACCCTGATCCTTCACTCACAAGAGATAAATTTCCCAGAATACACCAGGGGCAAAAAATCCCTTCTTGGCTCCTATAATAACATAAGACATAAACTGGAAGTGAGCCTCAGGGCTGCTGAGCCCTTCCCCCACCATCTCAAGCAACCACGTCATCTGATTGACTTACCTGGTTACTAATGTTCATGTCTTTGGTTGGGGGGGTGCTTTCAGGTCTGCTTCCACAACACCCTCTGGCTCCCCCAGGACCTCACAGCAAAATGTCTACAACCCACCGGATGTCTCCACATGGAACCCCTTCGATGACGATAACTTCTCGAAACTCACGGCGGAGGAGCTGCTGAACAAGGACTTCGCAAAACTGAGCGACGGTGAGTTTACCGAGCGCGTTAGCTAGGTGCTGGCGGAGGTCCCTCCTGCACCTGGGAAACGGGACTGGCATCACGGTGGAACATGACAGTAGCTACAGAGTCCTGGTGGGAACTTGCAGAACTGACTTGCTTAACATCTTATACATCCTAGAATCCCAGGGCTGGCAGAGACCTCAGGAGTCATCGAGTCCAGCCCCCTGCCCAAAGCAGGACCAACCCAACTCAATCAACCCAGCCAGGGCTTTGTCAAGCCGGGACTTAGAAACCTCGAGGGATGGAGATTCCACCCCCTCCCTGGGGAACCCATCCCAGTGCTTCCCCACCCGCCTAGGGAAATGGTTTTTCCTTATGTCCAACCTTGACCTCCCCCACTGCAACTTGAGACCATTGCTCCTTGTTCTGCCACCACTGAGAACAGTCTCTTTGGAACCCCCCTTCAGGTAGTTGAAGGCTGCTACCAAATCCTCCCCCCCCCCCCCCCCTCTCTTCTTCAGCTGGCAGCTTTGTGTCTCACTTTCACTGGGCTTGTGACATCCTGGGCAAGGGCAGTGTTTGTCTGTCTCTGATAGTGCCTTCCTTTCAATGAGGTCACAGAGATGGCTCAAGGTGTAAAATTGTTCTCTGGCCCTGATGAGTCTTGTGGTCAGAAGTCACCAGTGTGGCGTCCTGACCAGTATCTTGCTCCGGCTAGTGATGAGAACCATTTGGCTGCGTGTGCATGCACCCCCTGTGTGTTGTACTGGCTCTGCAGACTTTGAGAGAGCCCCAAATACCCCAAAATCAGATCTGGATTGAAGCCACCCAGCCAGGTTTATGCTTAAATGAAACGCCGTAATAGTTGTCAGCAGACTACACTGAACCACTGGATCAGTTAACGGCAGGGTTCTCCATTGCCCCCTAGAATGAACAAGGACAGCCCCTTAGGTACATTTTATACATAGGTACAAACACGTTACACATCACTCCTGACATATCAGGTTGCTACTCCCTGATGTTACCTAGATACCATCCCTTCCTTTGTTTTGATCGAACCACCGTGTACGTTTCTATTCATCAGCCTGTCGTTTCAGACCCTCTCCTGAACTTGGGTCAGTCTGTCCCTGTTACCTGTAGAGAATGTGGAGGTACCAACCTGTTTTTTAACAAGGTGCTTGTTAGTCCTGTTTGTGCCAGGTTCTGTGAGCAGGGCCTGCTTCTTGCTCACAGCTTAGCTTGGCTTTATATTAGCAAAGTCTTGACCACAGCTGCCCCCACACCAGGCCCCGGGCTAATATTTTAGGCCCTCTTCCCTCTCCGAGTCTACCACCGTCTATCTGCTCCACAGCTGCCTGCAGACCTGCTGCATGCAGATTGAGTTACTTTGTTTCATCCGGGAAAGATGGCTTGCAAGGTGGAAGTGTGAAAATAATGTTCTGCCATGGGATTTTAAAGCTGTTTACATAGTGCCAAGAGATCCCCTTCCAAAGGGGCGCAATCTACCATCGAGCGTAACCCGACATTCTGGAATTTCAGGTAAACCTCCAGAGAAGCTTAGCAGCTCCACAGAGAACTTGATTCCAGGCTTCCAGGCAGCTCCATCGACCACACAGGCAGATGCTTTCAGTTCCTCCTCCTTTGCAGCTGGATCAGGTAAGCCTGGGAACACGGCCTGAGAGAGCCTCCTCCTCAGATCACACCAAGTGGTTGGTTTTTCTGTAGCCCAGGGAGGCCCAGCTCCATTTGACCTGACCTTGTTTCTTCAGCCAGTTGCCTCTTTGGGCATCTCACTAGCAAATATCGGGCCATCACTGAAAGACTGTCAAAGGGATACGTGTCCCAAGAGATGCCTGGTAACAAAAGACCTCAGCCTGGGAAACCTGTTCAGTTCATCTCAGGCCTTGTATCCATTTGAGATTATTGATCTCCCTGGGATTGATGTAGTGGGTCTAATAAGGACGTGCTAAACTGACTTGAAAGTAGGAATAAGGGATCCTCCGGAAAAGGGCTTATTTTCCGGAAAATCGTGTCTAGACTGGCGCTTTTCTCTGGCAAAAACCCCGAGCCGGAAAAAAGCGGCAGCCATGTAAATGGAAATGCCGCGGGGGATATTTAAATCCCCCGCGGATTTGCAATTCCGAAGTGTCTAATCTGCATCCCTTTTCCGGAAAAGGGGTGCAGTGTAGACACAGCCCTAGTGTAGGCCTAGGCCTCGGTTGGCTCATGGACACAGTGAGGTAACTCCTTGGGGAAGTTAGATATTGAATAAACCCCTGAAGTCCATAGGAAAATCTGAGCCTGTCCCTGCTAACCATCATGCATTAGCTATTCTGTGCTTAAAGAGTTCCCTGGAAGGGAGGGGGCCAGGGGTCACTTGTTGGTCCAGACTTGCCTGTCTACTTGAGAGAAATTGGCCAGATGTGCCAGGCGATTCCACTTCTTTGAGTAGCTGTGATGGGATATAGAATCGCAGAGATGTCGGGCAAGAAGGAACCTCAGAGAGAATCTAGCCCATCCCCCTCCATGTTGAGGGACTAAAATTTCCCGGATCATCCCAAGGTGTGTGTTCTTAAAAACCTCAGATGACTGAGTGTCTCCCCTGGTAACCTGCATCTCCCCTGGTAACCTGCTCCATTGCTTTTATACTCGTCGTTAGTTTCCTCATATTGGACCTCAATCTCCCTTGCTGCAAATTAAGCCAATTGTCCCTTGTCCTGCCCTCAGTGGACTTGGAGAACAGTTGATCACTGTCCATGTTCGAAGACTGTTAGTATTTCTCCTTCCCCCTTCGCCCCCCGCAACCCCCCACCAGTCTTCTCTTGTGTAGACGGTAAAGGAGGCCGGGCTGGCAGAATCAGTCTGCCATGGGAGGAAGAGAAAGCCGGCTGATTATACTAGCGAAGATGAAGAAAAGTATGTGGGTGGGGAAGTCTTTCCTAAGTACACAATATAAATTACGTGGTGGATGCAGAAAGTGGGAACAGACGGAAGAGCATGAGTTCCACAGAGCTGCCATTCATTAGGACGCTCTAAAGGACCCGGTCCTGCAACTGTATCTGGGTGTGTGGACCCTGGTGTGGCGAGCCAGTGGACTGAGCACAGGTGCCCAAATGGATGCCCTTGCAGGATCAGGACCTTGTTAAAATCTCATTTCTCTTGCTCTCAAGTGGAACCTAGCACAGCTTCTTCAAGCTCCGAAATCTCCGGCTGAATGCTGGAAAATGCCAGGCCTCTGGAAATACTCACAGCAACCCCAAACAAAATGTTTAGAGCCGCCCTTGAGCCTCCCTTCCTTCCCCGGACCTCCATTCTGGCCTTTTTACCATTTAAAAATGGGATTTGTTGGGTTAAAATGTCCCCAGGGGTCAGCAAGCTTCAAGGAGAACAGGGCATCTTTCTGCACCATAAATTAGCTGTGAGCAAGTGCTAATGAGAGAACAGGCTCTAGGGCTGGGTCAGATTTTGGATCATCCAAGAATCTTAATTACTCAGAAGAAAAAACTGAAGACATCCATTTGAAGCTGACTTCTAAATATAACTGAACTTCGGCTTGTAATTGAGCTCAGTGGAGTGCTAGCTCCAGGGCTGTGGAATTAACTGGGAGACAGTTGAGCGAGTTGCTGTGCTGCAGACAACTCTTTCTAGCCACTCAACACCTAGGTCGTAAACACTTTGTGCGTGTCCAGCCCTGATTTGGGCTGCTGCAGTACAAATAAATCATTAGCATCGTTGGACAACATTGTTCTTGGTTTCCTATCTCTGTAGACTCTTCCCTGCACTAAGATCAGTTTTGTTTTGGGCAGAAGTTTTGTTGGTGCTTCCATAGGGATTGGAAATGCCCCTCACTTCTCCTTTCTTCACAAATACGTGCAAAGGCAGGAGTGCTTGTGAATTGACTTGTGTTAGTCAGTGTGTGAGAATTTTAGCTCTGCATGATGCATAATAGTGTGTGCTCTGTGGGGAAGTCAAGTACAATGGTTGTGACACTGCAGTGTCTGTTCGTTGGTCTCCCCATCTGTAAAATGGGGATAATAGAACCTCCTTTGTAAAGCACTTTGAGAGTTATGGATTCAAAGCACAAAGGATCTGCTCCATGGTGGTCCGATTACTAGCTTTTCCATAACAAAATAAACTTGTTTCCCCCAGGCACCGTTTGAAATCGTTTTAAAATCTGTCAATATCTCAGAGCTGTACCTTTTCTGTTTGACTTTTTTTCCTCTCGCCCCCCCCTCCCCCTTTCTCTTTGCCTGTCTAGCTGAAAAAACAAAAGACATTCTGAGTCTGGACACTAACCCTCCACTTCTGACTGTGCCTGATCCTTTCATTCCTCTTCCGTTATCCGACACACCAGGTAACCACAACAAAGTGCAGAGTTTTAATATTAATATTTGTGACTTCTGATTAATTCCTGGTGAAGCATGAAAATTGGGGGCCCTACATCAAAAGCCTGCAGGATTTATTGAAGTCACGGGGAGTGAAGATACTCCTCACCTTTTGGAAATGGGTCCTACTGGGGGAAAGTGGGTCAGTGTGGGGGGAGAAGGATGTTCGTTACCTAATACAATTGTGTACTCATTCCTGATTTCAGTCCTTGTGTGCTATGGAATTATTACTATAATCTAATCTGTAATGTATTTTAAGGGTTCATCTCATACAAGAACACCTTCTCCACAGTCGATTTTCTTTTTAGCTCCTTGGTTAGTGTGGTTCTAGTATAAAAATGTGCTGCCATCCTGACGTGCAGAAAGCCTTGCGACCTTCACTGGTTTGGCAGAGCCTTCAAGAACAGGTGGTAACTAATTCCGTTTGCTTCCCAACACTTAGAAAATTAATGCTGTCTTTGCCGTTCAAGGCTGCAGCCAATGGCTTAGGGATGGGATGTTCCAATGTGCCTAAGCCACGTAGGCATGCTTGAGAACGTTACGCTTGGTTTCTGTGTAACACTGGACAATATATATTATAGGTCTCTTTCGCTGCCAATCCACAAAAGGTGTGAGGCCGTTACAGTGCTCAGCTACAGAACCTGGCTCTACAGCTCAAGCTTCTAGCTCTGGAGGTCACCGGTTCGATCCCTGGTATTGGCCAAGATGGTGGCTGTTGCACACCCACTTCTGCACCTCGGTAAAGGGGCCCTGACTCTTTTGGATGTGCTGAGCGCTCTCAACTCCAGCTGAGAACAAATGGGAGTGACAACTGCTCAGGGCTTCCAAAAATTAGGCACTTTTAGGGCTTAAATTTTGGGAAATTCTAGCCATGCAACTTAAATTCTGAAACAGAAGTACAGGTTGAACCTCTCTAGTCCAGCACCTCCAGGACCGGGCCAGTGCCGAGCCAGAGAATTTGCCGAACCACAGGAGGTCGATACTGTCTAGCAGCATTGCCAACCTCCCACTGCTTATGGGGCTCTTAGAAGACATTTAGGGGCGAATTAGGGCTAAACAGCAGCACAGATCGCCGAGAGCCAGGACTGGTGGCTGTAAAACTTTATGGGACAGTGGGAAACTTCGCTACCTTTATGAGAAGCGAACATCCGGCAAACTGAAATCATGCCGACCACTGATGTTGCCGAACTGGAGAGTGCCGGAATAGAGAGGTTCAGCCTGTAGATACTTTCCCAAACTCGGCCTCCCCTAAATGAGCACAGCTCAGGTGCCGATACCCCGTTCAGTGGATCCCCTGGTGTTTTCCTTTTTTCAAATGCTCCTGGCAGCATTTTGTTTTCTTGGCCTGTCAGGCAGAAGCCGTTGCTAAACTCCCTTGTTCAGGGCGCACAACACAAATGGCAGGAGCTGTCCTTTTCCTCTTGCTTATTGAATGTCCACGCAGCTGCCAGCATTGATGGACAGCTCTGAAGTCTTTACAGAAAAACCATTAAGAGGAAGTTGCCTTTCAGCCCTGCCCGTTGGCTGAGAATCATCAAAGGCTGGATAGCCTGTAGTTCTTGAATTGATGGACTGTGCTTGCCCCCGACAGGGCATGTATTAAAGCTCTAGAGCCCACCCTGCCTTCCCTCGTGCATTGCAGGCAGGCATGGAGTGACCGGTGTCCCTGTTTGCAGGATGCGTGTGCCGATCTACACCCGACACTGGAGCTACTGGCGTGGTTATGTGCAGCCAACAGCAGCTCCTTCTCTCACTGTGGTAGCAGTTTGGTGCTTCTGGCCCGGGCTCCTCCTGTACTTTGGAAATGGAGGCGGCTGCCTGTTCCTCTCAAGCCTGCCATGACGAGTGCTGGAGTGACGCTTGGCTGACAGTCTCGCAAATCCGTCAGGCAGGACATGCCCTGCTTGCTCTCCCAGGGCTGCACTGATGGCCGGGCTCCCTGCAAAAACCTGTCTGCAAAGCAAGCGTGGGCCAGAGGGGAGTGGCTCCATCTAGCTTGAAGGCAGCCCTTTTATAGAGGCCCCTTTGTCGTGTAGAGCCAGACGTGAGCCTCCCACAGGCACCTGCACATGTAAAAACGTCTCTCTAAATGCGCCTGGACAGATGGCCTTAGAACTCCTTATCTTATCGCAGGAGATGTTGGTTATTTGCTTTTTGTACTGGACTGGTATCGCTTCTCTGGCCACGGTCAGTTGGAGAGCATAGCCACTTGATAAATATTTGCTTTAAATTAATGCCTGCTATTTTCCCAAAGGAGGGGCAGGACAGCAAATACTGATCAGCTGTCGAGTATTTGTTAACCACCTTGCTTGCTTGAAATTTCCTTCTCTCCCCCCTCCCCCGGTAGATCTTTGGTAGAAGGTAGAAATTTCCTCCCCCCCAGGCCCTTTAGCATGAGCATATCTCTGGAGCTGCAGGAGTAACTCTTAGGGCATCTTCATTTCAGAGATAATTTCATCTCTTTAGGTATGGCCCATCCACTCCCCAAACCTTCTGCCCTGAGTTTGGTGGTGCTGTAACTCAGACCAGTTGGTTTGGCTGGTGCGTCTCTACTGTATCTGGGAATGAGCCTTCAGCTCAGGTCCACTTGTGTTGATGGGTCTCATGCCGGGCTCTAGAATGGAGAGGGGCTGGGCTTGTGATCACACGCTCTAGCCCATAATGTAACATCCCTTCTGCAGCTGTTTTTAACAAGCTAGCACAGGTCTGCAGGCGCGGGCTGGGGACCTTGCTCCCAGCTGCAGAGTAGACCTATCCACGGAGGGTTAGTCCTTGGGAGCTGCTCTCACGAGGGCGGGAATGTGCCCACCTTGCAATGAGGGAGTAGGCTGAACTGCTTGAGTCCTTACAGTCCCCCAATACCTTCCCACAATTTGTCCTCCTGGGGACACAGAAGTTCTCCCGCAATTCACAGCGAAAGAGATCCAGGATATTGGGAAATGCTTTCCAGGGCGGCCGCTTCACCTGGGCTCAGTTAATCAGGGCTCTGCTCCTCTGAGTTAACTCTGCAGTGAAGACCTAGCCTTAAATGGTCTCTAATCTTCTCACCTGGATCAGCTGCTGAATCCTAGAACTGGGAGGGACATGGAACGGTCATCAACACCAGTCCTCTGCACTCATGGCAGGACCAAGCACCATGAAGATGTGCAGTCTCCTAGTGGAGGGATTATGATTTCATTTAAATAACTCCATATCCTTAATGTTTCCTCAAACTCATTTCTAAAATGAGGTACAGTGTCCAATGGAGAAATTGAAATAAAAATTAAAGCATCAGTCAGTGGAAATTGGATATTTTTTAGCATGTCCCTTTTTATTCTATGCAATCACCAATGGAAATGTAACTGGCAAGAGAGGTATAAAAATACGGCACACATCTGTTAAAATATTGGAAAATGAAATATTCATGCTGAAAACATTTTGCTTTGTGCCT